CGACATGACACATATATTTGCTACAGCTACAAAACCAGAGTTTTTTATGTAAAACTATGCTTCAATGCAATTTTTGTGGTAGGCAATTTTTGTTGTTCAACAGTCTGAAGCATAATTACTTTTCAAGGATTTTTGGGGACAATTTATGTTTTTCCCCAAGAGTTAGACTAATTCCGTCCCGGGAGTCCCACAGAGATACAAGCATGGGATACTGAGGACATATTCGGTTTCAGTAACCATAGAGACAAGCATGGATTCCAGTGACGAATCTGACTCGTGATCCCAACACAAACAAGTATGAGGTTTTTGTGACCTTGTCCGTCCCCGGATCCTTTCAAAGAGACAAACTGGGGACTTGATCTGCCACGGGATCCCAACAGAGAGACAAACACGGGGTACTGAGGACCTGTTCTTCCCCGGGATCCCAAAAGAGAGACAAGCACGGGATACAGGGGACCTATTCTGCCACGGGATCCCAACACAGAGACAAACACGGGGTACTGAGGGCCTGTTCTTCCCTGGGATCCCAACACAGAGACAAACACGGGGTACTGAGGGCCTGTTCTTCCCTGGGATCCCAACACAGAGACAAACACGGGGTACTGAGGACCTGTTCTTCCCCGGGATCCCAAAAGAGAGACAAGCACGGGGTACTGGGGACCTATTCTGCCACGGGATCCCAACAGAGAGACAAACACGGGGTACTGGGGACCTGATCTGCCACGGGATCCCAACAGAGAGACAAACACGGGGTACAGGTGGACCTATTCTGCCACGGGATCCCAACAGAGAGACCAGCACGGGGTACTGGGGACCTGATCTTCCCAGGGATCCCATGAGAGAGACAAACACGGGGTACTGGGGACCTGATCTGCCACGGGATCCCAACAGAGAGACCAGCACGGGGTACTGGGGACCTGATCTGCTACGGGATCCCAACACAGAGACAAACAAGGGTTACTGGACACCTATTCTGCCCCGGGATCCAAACAGAAAGACAAACACGGGGCACTGGGGACCTATTCTGGCCCGAGATCCCAACAGAGGGACAGACACGGGGCACTGGGGACCTATTCTGGCCCGAGATCCCAACAGAAAGACAAATACAGGGTACAGGGGACCTATTCCTGGGGACCCCGATACTTTGTAAAATACTCCCGAATCTTTTTATGGTAAAAGTCCAGGCAGCTAGTTGTAAGAAAGAGTATCGTACATGAAAACGTTTAGCGGTACCCACGGTACGCCCGTATCTACGATCGGAACGTTTTAAGCACAGTACTTTTACTGGCAACCAGCTGCCAGGACGTTTACCAAAAGAACGAGAGATGCCATTTTTTGCCGTAAAAAATGAAGGTTGTTTTTTATAAATAAAAACCTCATAAGATGCCTGAATTGACAAAACAATTGTTTTATTTAGAACTTTTACGTAAGTTGGTGACAATACCAAAATATTCATAGGAAGTGAGGAATTCACACAATAAAATGCCAAATAAAATAAGTAACATAGTCAAAGCATATTTGCAAACAAACAGTTTATATATCCCGGTTACTATGCAGGATCTGTCAGGTCCGAGTTACTATACAACTATGTGCATCTAGCGTTGTAAACAAATGGCGCCGATTAAACTTGCCCGGATGATATCCCACAGTGCCACACCGAAAACACAACACATGGGAGAGTAAATAGGTTTCATTGGAAAGGTGTTCCGGAAATATACTGTAATTGTAGCGGTAGTGACTGTAAACGATGTTTATGGTAAAATACCGTCAACATAATACAGTGAAACATTTTTTTAACGGTAATGTTTTGTAGAGAGACAAATATGGTGATTGGGGACTTATTCCCCTCGGATTTCCCGAAAGGGGAGACAACCATAGAAAACTGGGACCCGTACCACAAAGCGATCTTAGCGCCATGATTGTCGTAAGTCTATGTTAAAGTATGGGAGAGACGATCGCCTGAGCGCTAATGGAAACTAAAAAAAGGAATAAGACCCGTGAAGATCCGGGTTAGAAATGGTTAGAAATTGTCGTAAGGGGCGACTAACAGGATCGGGTAGTCAAGCTCGCTGACTTGGTTGATGCATGTTATCGATCCCAATTGCGTGGATCGATGCTCATGATGTCAATCACTGGATTGTCTGGTCCAGACTCGATTATTTTACAAACCACCGTCATATAGCTGGAATATTGCTGAGTGCGGCGTTAAACAACAAACAAACAAACAAACAAAGTCATGATGTCAATCACTGGACTGTCTGGTCTAGACTCGATTATATACAGACCGCCGTCATATAGCTGGAACATCGCTGAATACGGCGTTAAACAAAAAAAAAAAAAAAAAAAAAAAATTGATTAAACACGGATACCTGTGATGTTGGTCTGTCATGGTAGTACACCCGGTCTCTGTAGGAGAAGCCGAAGTTATCCATATGTGAACGGAGTGAAGTGTGGTCTCGGTATGTAGGGTATGAATACCAACAGCACCACAGAACGGTAATCCCTAAATCGTGTCTACTCCCTTTTAAAACCCGTATGAAAGGCCAAGGCGATGCTGAAAGTATATCCCACGATACTGATCAGAATATGGCCATGTGACACTGACGTCAAGAAATGACACAGCTTCTATTCTTTATTCGGCATGAGTGTATGCGGCACTTAAACCTCCCATTTACTGAATCACCTCTCCTGGACAATCAGACCGTGACGGCGATTTCTGAATGTAAACAGAAAGCCGCAACATGCCGTCAGGGTGAATGTGTCTTTTGAAGTCAAATCGTGATTTCATTTTGATGACCAATAGTGAGTCATAGTGACGCACGTTGATGGCGGGCTCGACTTGTGTCCACCATTATAATATTCCCAGCTGGCCTTATAATGTGCTCTGCTTAAAGTGATGGATTTTAACACCACACCTTACCGTGTTACTGATCTTTGAGGTGATATACCTGGAGGTGTGTGCAATCACAAGTGGCTATCTATGATTTGATACCAGTGAAAGAAAAAAGCTATTGTGTTCGTTGGTTGGGAAGAATGTTAGGAAGCGCTAATACTACACGAAACTGCCGGGCTAAAGAAAATTCAGACCCATGTTTGAGTGAGTGAGTGAGTTGGGGTTAACGCAGCTTTTAACAGTATTCAAGTTGTATCACGGCGTGTCAGCTTAATGTGTGAGGAAAGCCCGAATTGATGCAGGTCTCGGACGTTTACCACTTCGGTGAAACCCACGAGCACGGGTATGGTGCTGACAAACCTAGAAAATTAATAGGGGAGAACCGGGATTCGAACCCACAATCATAGGTTTCTGGCGTGCCCAAGGGACGCAACTCTTCACAGCGAATCGCGGCGCCTTAGACGACTGGGCCACCCGTGCACCCCGACCCATGTTTGATGGTGGTTAGAAATGAAACAAACTTTCCGATGGTGATGTATTTGCTACGGGTATCATGGGTAGTGTTTTGGACCTTAAGTATGCAGCGTTTCGGCGACAGTTCTCAGCCGAGTAACGTTTTTATAACGTTTGTAAGCTTTTGTTCAAATCCATTTTCAAGTACAGTAAACTACGGTTATAACGAACACGCTTATAACGAACTGACGGATATAACGAACTTACTTTTTGGTCCCGACTACTTGCTGTAGTCATGCTGTATATGTACTTATAACGAACTACGGTTATAACGAACTAAAAATAGTAGTCCCTTTGAGTTCGTTATAACCGTAGTTTACTGTATATTCTTTTGGATAGTTGATACATAAAGGTGTTTTTTGTATTGGGCGGAGGTTGGGGTAGGGTAGGTGCTGGTTTGCTGGTTGCTAAAAAATGATATTCAAATTAACCTTTAAAGTCATCAAGTCAAGGCTGACCTATCATTACAATTCAGCATATAAGGGCGGACCCATCCTCTCAGTTCATTATATCAGGACGCACTTATTCACCTAATTCATAAACCCGTGAAGACCCGGGTTAGAGTAAGTCTTCACTGCCCATGCTTGTCGTAAAAGGCGACTATGCTTGTCGTAACAGTCGACTAACGGGATCGGGTGGTCAGGCTCGCTGACTTGGTTGATGCATGTCATCGTACCCTAATTGCGTGGATCGATGCTCATGATGTCAATCACTGGATTGTCTGGTCCTGACTTGATTATTTACTGACCGCCGTCATATAGCTGGAATATTGCTGAGTGCGGCGTTAAACAACAAACAAACCAAACAAACAATCGTATTTATTAAATGAAGCCAGAAAAGTATTATGCTTGCATTTTCGACAGTACTTGTTTTAGCAGCACATTATTTTTCAGAAATTCAAGTATGTCCGTGAAGGCTTGTTTTTCAAATTTCAATCTAAAGTGTGTTTTTTTTCTACCAGCATGTTTGACCTGTCTGGAAAACACATAGTATACACCCCTTTGTGTCAAAGAGCGCCTAGACTGTATAGGCTTTAAGTTGCTGCTGGGGGCACGGGTGGCCCAGTCGTCTAAGGCGCCGCGATTCGCTGTGCAGAGTTGCGTCCCTTGGGCACGCCAGAAACCTATGATTGTGGGTTCGAATCCCGGTTCGCCCCAATTATGTTTCTAGGTTTGTCAGCACCATACCCGTGCTCGTGGGTTTCACCGAAGTGGTAAACGTCTGAGGCCTGCATCACTTCGGGCTTTCCTCCCACATTAAGCTGACACGCCGTGATATAACTGGAATAATGTTAAAAGCGGCGTTAAACCCAACTCACTCACTCACTCACTCAAGTTGCTGCTCTGGTAGGTGCCTGTGGACAGTGATTCTCCAAGATTCTCAACAGCGGATGGTGGTGACAACGACGACACTGACACTGCTTCATTGTAACTTTATTTTGCGACATCAACAGTTACGTGTTTACACACTGCAGGCACCCGTAAAGATCCGGGGTAGAATAGGTCTTTAGCAACCCATCCTTGCCGTAAAAGGCGACTATGCTTGTCGTAACAGGCGACTAACGGGATCGGACGGTCAGGCTCGATGACTTGGTTGATGCATGTCATCGATTCCCAAATGCGTAGATCGATGCTCATGTTGTCAATCATCGGATTGCCTGGTCCAGACTCCACTATATACAGACCGCTGTCATATAACTGGAATATTGCTGAGTGAGGCGCTGGGGTGTTGAAAGGCGAGCCGTGGTCTGTTCAGTATCCCGAGAAACCGGAAATGTGACTGGTAGGATAGGATGAAGACTTGTCCATGTCAGGGGGCTCTTTCTTCGCCAACGTCAGGGTGTCGGCATCCGGGTCTTTCGCCTTGCACGCGCCGAACGTGACAAACGATGATAACTCGATGAGCAGCTGCACGACCTCGAAAACACTGAGGACGGAGAGCCCCACCCACAGGCCTAGGGTGCCACCCACGTCAGACACAAACTGAGTCAGCTGGACAACAAACACACAGGTCTGCATTAGTGAGTGAGTTGGGTTTAATGCCAATTTAAACAATATGTCGTTGTGTGATGTTTGTTTGTTTGTTTGTTGTTTAACGCCGTACACAGCAATATTCCAGCTATATGACGGCGGTCTGTAAATAATCGAGTCTGGACCAGACAATCAAGTGATTGACATCATGAGCATCGATCCACGCAACTGGGACACGATGACATGCATCAACCAAGTCAGCGAGCCTGACCACCCGATACCGTTAGTCGCCTCTCGCAACAAGCATAGTCGCACTTTACGGCAAGCATTGGTTGTTGAGGACCTATTCTACCCGGATCCTCACGGGTCAAAACAACAAACACAAACCCATAATCCGTATATAAAAAAAAAACACTTGGGAATTCCGGGGCGGAATACGGGTACTTCATTTAGGGTGAGAATATGTAAAAATGTCACTCACTTCTTTACATTCATAGGTATGGCTATTAACAACTTCGCCCTTTACTGAAGGGTGCTGGGGCGGTCGGGTAGCCTAGTGGTTAAAGTGTTCGCTCATCACGCCGAAGACCCGGGTACAATGTGTGAAGCCCATTTCTGGTGTCCCCCGCCGTGATATTGCTGGAATATTGCTAAAAGCGGCGTAACACCATACTCACTCACTCACTGAAGGGTGCTATTTAATTTACATAACGACCATCACTTAGTCTTGCTTCCAGAGCCTCGAAAATAAATTGAGAAAGTGAACCCAGTTCAAGTATAGTGTGAGTGAGTGAGTTGGGTTTAACGCAGCTTTTAACAGTATTCCAGTTATATCAGGGCGTGTCAGCTTAATGTGGGAGGAAAGCCCGAAGTGATGCAGGTCTCAGACGTTTACCACTTCGGTGAAACCCACGAGCACGGGTATGGTGCTGACAAACCTAGAAACATAATCGGGGCGAACCAGGATTCGAACCCACAATGATAGGTTTCTGGCGTGCCCAAGGGACGCAACTCTGCACAGCGAATCGCGGCGCCTTAGACGACTGGGCCACCCGTGCCCCCAGTTCAAGTATAGAATGACTCCTGAAAGTAAGAATTGTTATGGGCTCCATATGGATTTTATTTTTTACTTTGTAGATATATACTTTTAAATATTTAACTTTATTTCTGGGACTTAATTCAGGTCTAGTGCATCCTGCTTCGTGCCGTGTAGGGTAGTCTAGTGGTTAAAGCGTTCCGTCGTCACGCCGAAGCCCGGGTTCGATTCCCAACATGGGTACAATGTATGAAGCAAATTTCTGGTGTCCCCCGCCGTGATAATGCTGGAATATTGCTAAAAGCGGCGTAAAACCACACTCACTCACTCACTCGTGCCATGTGTACCTCGTAATCAGGCTCCTCGTTGATTATTTCGTAGTTGAGGTCTTCGAAGAAGATGTTCAATTTAGCGAAGTTTAACCTAGAAATGCAAGTATTAGATAGCATAAACTCCTGTTGTTCAAACACAAGGTATGGGATAAACCACGTCTGGCGGTGTGTTCGTGCTTTAGTACGTTTTGTTTTTGATAATGTACAAGAATTTATTTAGTTTTCCAAACTTAGTGCCCTTGGCAGGCAAATTTCAAAACGTTAGTTATAAGAATATAAACTGGGAAATTCTTATTCCCTATGAGCTGCAGACTCGGGCTGAATATCGGTCTCCAGGTAGTCTAGATTAATCAGTGTAATGTACATCCGTCGGTTGTTTTTGTTTTAAGGGACTGATAAACATCAAATGCACGTGCATGCAAAACACATTCCTATAAGAAATACTGTCGGTGGTACATTTTAATTTAATATACGTGATTATATGTTGACGTTTCATTGGACAGGATTTGTCTCTAAAATAGACCTTTATCCATTTAGTTCATGAATGTTTCATGAATTCTCTACGGGGTAATATGTGAAGACAGCAGAACCTGCGTTACCTAAGAAGCCTCGGGTCGGTTGTGTAGTTGTGTTTCAGGTTTTGGCAGTCGACGGCAGACCTCGTCTCGCATAGCCTCTCCAGCAGCACCTTCTGCAACACCGGGCGTCAGTACAATCACTAGACACTCTAAGGAGGATGGAGAGCGCATCTCGTGCACGGCCAATGGCAAGGTGTGGGGGGCATTGCCGAATAGTTACCATACACACAAAGGTCTTGGGGGCGAATGTTAATGGTAAGTATATTAAAGTCATCTTGTTCATTGGGTATTAAATTCAAGGTGAATTTTGAGAACATTTAAAGCAAAAGCATATATGAGGTGTGAATACTGCACTGTGAAAAGCCTTTCTAAATATCATCATCATCATCATACCTGTCCAACGGCCATCATCATCCTCATTATCATCATCATCATCATCCTTATTATTATTATTATAATTCTTACCGCATAGCTGTCCGACGGCCATTGGCGGGAGGAAATGCTCTTCTCGTACTTTATTTCCCTAATAAGAAAAAACAAGATTTGCATGATTTAAGGGATCACGGATATTTTCAGGTATTAATTACATTTTTTTGGTGTAACATGATTATTATGTGTGGTGTTTGCAACTAATCCTTACGACGTCTTTAACTTCGATCTGATGTCTGTTTCAACCGAGAACCTACGACGCCCCCCTCACGATAACAACGAATCCCCGCGACCCTGCAGAGAGGAATCGCTTATCATGTCATGACTCGTAAGATAAACGACGTCGTTCAAATGACCCAGAATATTGTGTTCAGACAATGGAATCTCCCAGTCTATGCCATCACTTCGGGCTTTCCTCCCACATTAAGCTGACACGCCGTGATATAACTGGAATAACGTTAAAAGCGGCGTTAAACCCAACCCACTCACTCACTCACTCCCAGTCTATGCCATAGTATTGTGAGGCCTGTGCTACATATATCCAGTCGGGGCGGTCGGGTAGCCTAGTGGTTAAAGCGTTCGCTCGTCACGCCGAAGACCCGGGTTCGATTCTCCACATGGGTACAATGTGTGAAGCCCATATCTGGTGTCTCCCCTCCGTGATATTGCTGGAATATTGCTAAAAGCGGCGTAAACCTATACTCATTCACTCACTTACCTGCAAGGATTCCCACAAGTGCAGTTGAGCGCGAAGTTTTCAAATACCCACATCTGGCCAAACATACACTTAACTTCTACAAAGAAAAGGATATAAAAAACAACATTTATAGGCTTTATATATCCATCGTGCACTTGCTCTGTGCCATTCGCCGAAATTAATAATGTCAGATGTTAACAATTCCATTCTACACATGTTGCGAGACGGAGAAATCATGAAATTCTACTTTCGGTTTCAATAGATTCGAGTGATTTCTCTGGCGTTTACCATGTTATGGTTGATGTAAAATTTATCGAACATTTCGCATAGTGACTTTTATACTCAGTTATACTTGTTTAAAATACACACTCAGGACGGCCAGTGAATTCCTGGCTCAGAATCAACTGCAAGAACAATAGCATGACGTCCTCAAACAGGTTTATATGTAATGTGAATTAGTTGGTAAACATGGTGATGAATGCAGATCATTCAATGTTTATATTTGAGGCCTGGCTAATAGACCAGCATTACAACAACTCAAGGCCTTTCATTAGTCTGCTTGCTTTACGGATCCGCCGATCACTAAATCGAAAATAAATATAATCAGAATCACAAGGTGTATGTATAACACCAACGGCAAAAATCGCTTTGACTATAAAAATAAATCGTCGTTATAAGTTAAATATAAATGTGAAACCCTAATTAACTGTCACACCAACCAATCAATAAAATTAGAATGTCGCTGTCAGATTTCAGATTAATTAAGGACCCGATTCAGACAAAAAAATATTAACCTCCTGATCCAAATCAAACTTTAAGATGAATAAGTGTTTTCACTATAAAAATAAATAATCCGTAAAGCAAACATACGGAAGCGTAGTAGGGCCACGGTGAAATCTTCTTTTGTCTAAGTATCTCCTACGTGGGACTTATTATTTTCTACGTAAAACTTAGTATCTCCTACGTAGGACTTAGTATCTCCTACGTGGGACTTATTATTTTCTACGTAAAACTTAGTATCTCCTACGTAGGACTTAGTATCTCCTACGTAGGACTTAGTATGGACTGGAATAACTATCTCCTACGTAGGACTTAGTATCTCCCACGTAGGAGATAGGAAGTCCTACGTAGGAGATAATAAGTCCTACGTAGGAGATAGTGATTCTAGGCCATACTAAGTCCTACGTAAGAGATACTAAGTCCTACGTAGGAGATACTTAGACAAAATAAAATGTTCACCGTGGCCCTACTACGCTTCCGTACAAACAAGTATGTGGTTGCTGTTGACCTACGTTTCTTGGACCGGCATGCAGGGTGAGGGTTAGTGGTGTTTAGAATCAAGGTTATCTCTTCCTCTGCCACATTGTAACACTTGCACACGTTGGCGATCATTTCCTGCTCACACACAAGCTGACAAGTCTGTAGAACATAGAATATAGTACATTATTCAACACGGGGGCAGAAAATAGACAGAGACATAGGAGACACAGGTGAGGCAGGTGAGACGTGGAGACACACACGACACAGAGACATGGAGATACAGGTGACACAGGTGATACAGAGACACAGATGACGCAGTGACACAGGTGACACAGGTGAGACATGGAGACACAGGTGATACAGAGACACAGGTGATGCAGAGACACAGGTCACACAGAGACACATATGACGCAGTGACACAGGTGACACAGAGACACTTATGACGCAGTGACACAGGTGACACAGAGACACAGGTGACACAGGTGATGCAGAGACACAGGTGATGCAGAGACACAGGTGACACAGAGACACAGGTGACACAGAGACACATATGACGCAGTGACACAGATGACACAGAGACACATATGACGCAGGGACACAGGTGGCACAGAGACGCATATGACGCAGTGACACAGGTGACACAGAGACACATATGACGCAGTGACACAGGTGACACAGAGACACATATGACGCAGTGACACAGGTGACACAGAGACACATATGACGCAGTGACACAGGTGGCACAGAGACACATATGACGCAGTGACACAGGTGACACAGAGACACATATGACGCAGTGACACAGGTGACACAGGTGACACAGGTGACACAGGTGACACAGGTGACACAGGTGACAGAGACACATATGACGTAGAGACACAGGTGACACAGGTGACAGAGACACAGGTGACACAGAGACATGGAGACACAGGTAACACAGATACATAGGTGACACAGAGACACATAAGACACAGGTGACACAGGTGAGACATGGAGACAAAGGTGACACAGAGACACAGGTGACACAAGGGAGACATGGAGACACAGGTGACACACGTGACACAGGTGAGACATGGAGACACGGGTGACACTGAGACACAAATATGATAGGAAACAAATAGGAGACACAGAGACACAGAAGCCAGAGAGACACATGTGACACAGAGACACATGTGATCTAGAAACAGAGACAGGAGACGCTATAAACTATGCATCACTCATACAGTGATCTAATCGGTATGTTTCACTGTAACTGAAAAAACCCAGATAGCTCTGGGTTCGAATCCAAGATTCGACCCGATTGAGACTCGTATGTTTGTGAAGCGCCATGTGGGTACCCGGTAGTGCCACCATCAGGGTAAAATTCAAAGGCCTTTCTTGCCACATAAAGCCAACATTTTACATGCCGTAATGTAATGAAACCCAGTTCAAATATCTTTTGTTTGTTTGTTTTTTTGTTTGTTGTTTAACGCCGCACTCAGCAATATTCCAGCTATATGACGGTGGTCTGTAAATAATCGAGTCTGGAACTAGACAATCCAGTGTTTAATATCATGAGCATCGATCCACGCAATTGGGATCGATGACATGCATCAACCAAGTCAGCGAGCCTGACCACCCGATCCCGTTAGTCGCCCCTTACGACAAGCATAGTCGTCTTTTACGGCAGGCATGGGTTGCTGAAGACCTATTCTACCCCGGAATCTTCCCGGGTAGTTCAATTATCTACTCACTTTAAAAAAACAACTACGTTATAAAACCACCACCTGCACAGAGTAAGTGATGTTGTATCTGCGTTGAAACATCAGCCCATCTTCGCAATCCCATTTCGGTGGACCCAGTCGCTTGATCTGCAACTACAAACGATACACACGTGTAGTGATGGGGAATCTTATATGAATGAACGAATATAATTTACAATGTATTAACTTTTTAATGCTTCCACGGTGGAGTGGATAGAGTGTTCGCCGGGAGAGCGGAAGGTTCGATCCCCTGTCTGCGGCATATCAAAAGATGGTAAAAGATGGTACTTGATTTTGCCCTACCTTGCGTTCGACATTAAGGGCATAAAAAAGGATTTGCGGCTTAAGACTTTAGAAAGCCCATTTCACCAAACCTCTCATCACCTCACCTTCTTTAGAGCTACATTCGTTTCTTTTCCAGCATCGATGGTAAGTCCATCATGAACTGGGAGGGGCAGCACGCCGTGGGGGTTGACCACCAGTTGGAACCCGTTACCCGTCGTGATGCCTTCAAGCTGCTCAGCGTTCTCTAGGTAAAGGATCAGCTGCAGACCTGTGAAGAGATATGCCGGACACTAAATACAGGATCAGCTGCAGACCTGTGAAGAGATATGCCGGACACTAGATACAGGGTCACCTGCAGACCTGTGAAGAGATATGCCGGACACTAGATACAGGGTGACCTGCAGACCTGTGAAGAGATATGCCCGACACTAGATACAGGGTCACCTGCAGACCTGTGAAGAGATATGCCGAACACTAGATACAGGGTCACCTGCAGATCTGTGAAGAGATATTTCGGACAATAGATACAGGGTCACCTGCATATCTGTGAAGAGATATGCCGGACACTAGATACAGGGTCACCTGCAGACCTGTGAAGAGATATGCCGGACACTAGATACAGGGTCACCTGCAGACCTGTGAAGAGATATGCCGGACACTAGATACAGGGTCACCTGCAGACCTGTGAAGAGATATGCCCGACACTAGATACAGGGTCACCTGCAGACCTGTGAAGAGATATGCCCGACACTAGATACAGGGTTACCTGCAGACCTGTGAAGAGATATACCGGACACTAGATACAGGGTCACCTGCAGACCTGTGAAGAGATATACCGGACACTAGATACAGGGTCACCTGCAGACCTGTGAAGAGATATGCCCGACACTAGATACAGGGTCACCTGCAGACCTGTGAAGAGATATGCCGGGCACTAGATACAGGGTCACCTGCAGACCTGTGAAGAGATATGCCGGACACTAGATACAGGGTCACCTGCAGACCTGTGAAGAGATATACCGGACACTAGATACAGGGTCACCTGCAGACCTGTGAAGAGATATGCCGGACACTAGATACAGGGTCACCTGCAGACCTGTGAAGAGATATACCGGACACTAGATACAGGGTCACCTGCAGACCTGTGAAGAGATATGCCGGGCACTAGATACAGGGTCACCTGCAGACCTGTGAAGAGATATACCGGACACTAGATACAGGGTCACCTGCAGACCTGTGAAGAGATATGCCGGACACTAGATACAGGGTCACCTGCAGACCTGTGAAGAGATATGCCGGACACTAGATACAGGGTCACCTGCAGACCTGTGAAGAGATATGCCGGACACTAGATACAGGGTCACCTGCAGACCTGTGAAGAGATATACCGGACACTTGATACAGGGTCACCTGCAGACCTGTGAAGAGATATATTGCTGAGTGCAGCGTTAAACAAGAAATAAAAAAAACAAAAAACAAACCATTGCCGGACCCTGTATCAATGCCGGATACAGGGTCACCTGTAGATATGTTTATATATAGTATATACAGATTCATCTTGAGACATATGTCGGACACTAAATTCCATGTCATCTGCTAAATACAGATTCATGGCGGTCACCAGACACCCTCCCCGTCAGGTGGCCAGGGTCAGTAGTGTTCCTCCCCGGGGGTCGAGATGACCCTGTGTCCAGGTCCCCTAGTATCTGTTATCTGTAAATGGAGGAGTAAACTGATCACCTTTTGTTTGACCGCTCCTCTTGCTGATGAACTTGTTGTGCTCCAAGGTGTAGCAGTTGCCGAATGTAGAAGACGTTTGCATGATGAAATGCCTGATGACAAAACAATTTGAAAGCAATAATGAAGTTATTTTGTTTCATGTTGATTGAGTTTCTAGCGTACTATATGAGTGAGTGAGTGAGTGAGTGAGTAAGTGAGTGAGTGAGTGAGTGAGTGAGTGAGTGGGTGGGTGGGTGAGTGAGTGAGTGAGTGAGTGAGTGAGTGTGTAGGTGGATAAGTGAGTGGGTGGGTGAGTGAGTGAGTGAGTGAGTGGGTGAGTGAGTGGGTGAGTGAGTGAGTGAGTGGGTGGGTGGGTGGGTGAGTGAGTGAGTGAGTGGGTGGGTGGGTGGGTGGGTGGGTGAGTGAGTGAGTGGGTAGGTGGATGAGTGAGTCTGTGGGTGAGTGAGTGAGTGAGTGAGTGAGTGAGTGAGTGAGTGAGTGAGTGAGTGAGTGAGTGGGTGGGTGGGTGGGTGAGTGAGTGAGTGAGTGAGTGGGTGGGTGGGTGGGTGAGTGAGTGAGTGAGTGAGTTAGTGGGTAGGTGGATGAGTGAGTGGGTGGGTGAGTGGGTGAGTGAGTGGGTGAGTGAGTGAGTGAGTGGGTGGGTGGGTGGGTGGGTGGGTGAGTGAGTGAGTGGGTAGGTGGATGAGTGAGTCTGTGGGTGAGTGAGTGAGTGAGTGAGTGAGTGAGTGAGTGAGTGAGTGAGTGAGTGAGTGAGTGAGTGGGTGAGTGAGTGAGTGGGTAGGTGGATGAGTGAGTGGGTGGGTGAGTGAGTGAGTGAGTGAGTGAGTGAGTGAGTGAGTTATCGAACTCGGTCGTCTTGGTCTGGTAACTCTAGTTTCGTTCGTTTACGTTCGCTACCTCTCGCCGTGCCTCATATCTCTGCTGTATTTACCTGGGACTACATGTTTGGCAGGAGAAAGAACAATCCATCAGCATGTCGTCCAGTTGATGTCCAATATTTATTCTCGTCTGCCTGCAAACATTTTTCAATATATTATTTACGTGGATACAGGTAGATACATTTGTAGATAGTAAATGATCGCTACATTCATGGCCTTGTGAAGAAGTGAATAGGAGAGGTAGGTGTTACGCCATTATCCAGACACAGCATGGAGCACGAAGACTAGACTTCACATTAACAGTTTTATATGGCACCCCAAGGCCTTATTCGTCCGATTAAAAACACGATAATATTTAGTCTTATTAAGCACTTATTACGGACCCCGATCACATCACCTGTACTCGAAAAATATATACTGACCCCTTCACATGTACCGCAAATAACCTAACGTGGCTTCTTCACATGTTCAGAAGATAATCTCACCTGGCCTCCTTACCTGTCCCGCAGAGAGCCACACCCGCTCTCTTCACCTGTACCGCAAACAACTTTACCTGCTCTCTTCACATGTACCGCAGATAACCTCATCTACTCTCTTCACCTGTACCGCAAATAACTTTACCTGCTCGCTTCACCTGTACCGCAGAAAACCTCACCCACTCTCTTCACCTGTACCGCAAATAACTTTACCTGCTCTCTTCACATGTACCGCAGATAACCTCACCCGCTCTCTATACCTGTACCGCAGATAACGTTATCTACTCTCTTCACCTGTATCGCAGATAACCTCACCCACTCTCTTCACCTGTACCGCAGAAAACCTCACCCGCTCTCTTCACCTGTATCGCAGATAACCTCATCTACTCTCTTCACCTGTACCGCAGATAACCTCATCCACTCTCTTCACCTGTACCACAAATAACTTTACCTGCTCTCTTCACATTTACCGCAGATAACCTCACCCGCTCTCTATACCTGTTCCGCAGATAACGTTATCTACTCTCTTCACCTGTACCGCAGATAACAACACCAGACCTGTACCACATATAACCTCACCCGCTCCTTTCTTACCTGTACCGTAGAAAACCTCATCTAGTCTCTTCGGGTGTACCACATATAACCTCACCCGCTCTCTTTACCTGTACCGCAGTTGACATCACCAGACCTTTACCACTGTCAACCTCACCTGCTCTCTTCACCTGTACCACACTTAGCCTCACCTGCTCTCTTCACCTGTACCACACTTAGCCTCACCTGCTCTCTTCACCTGTACCACACTTAGCCTCACCTGCTCTCTTCACCTGTACCACACTTAGCCTCACCTGCTCTCTTCACCTGTACCACACTTAGCCTCACCTGCTCTCTTCACCTGTACCACACTTAGCCTCACCTGCTCTCTTCACCTGTACCACATTTAGCCACACCTGCTCTCTTCACCTGTACCGCAGACAACTCCACCTACTCTGTTCACCTGTACTCCTGTAACCTCACCTTACCTCTTTCATAAAGAGGACCTGGAATTGAAGCTGAATGGTCGCAGTGGTTGAACTTTCATTGAGACCCATTTCCCGTCCATCCTCCTGCGCCTGAACAGTAGTGATGTTCATCTGATAGTCACTGGTAGTAAAGTTTCCGTTGAACAATCCGTTCAACGCTGGTTCGCTGCCATTTATCTGAAAAAACAAACAGAAGTAGGTTACACCTGTAGACAAATCGTTCCCTTTAACCGTTAACTTAGTTCAGTTTGACGCCGCCTTTACCAACGAGAAGACAGCGAAAACATTATAACATGTGCTTGACCAACGAGAAGACAGCGAAAACATTATAACATGTGCTTTACCAACGAGGAGACAGTGAAACCATTATACCATGAACCTCACCTTCGAGAAGAAAGCGAAACTATTACAAAATGTACGTCACCAACGAAAAGACAGCGAAAATATTATAACATGTGCTTGGCCAACGAGAAGACAGTGAAACCATTATACCATGAACCTCACCTTCGAGAAGAAAGCGAAACTATTATAAAATGCACGTCACCAACGAAAAGACAGCGAAAACATTATAACTTGTTCCTTACCAACGAGAAGACAGTGAAAACATTAAACCATGTGCTTGACCAACGAGAAGGCAGTGAAACTTATAACATAAACTTTACCAACAAGAAGACAGAAAGACCATTATAACATGTACTTTACGTACGTGAAAACAGCGAAAACATTATAACATGTGCTTGACCAACGAGAAGACAGTGAAACCATTATACCATGAACCTCCCCTTCGAGAAGAAAGCGAAACTATTATAAAATGCACGTCACCAACGAAAAGACAGCGAAAACATTATAACTTGTTCCTTACCAACGAGAAGACAGTGAAAACATTATAACATGTGCTTGACCAACGAGAAGGCAGTGAAACCGTTATAACATAAACTTTACCAACAAGAAGACAGTGAAACGATTATAACATGTACTTTACGAACGTGAAAACAGCGAAAACATTATAACATGTGCTTGACCCACGAGAAGACAGTGAAAACATTTTAACATGTGCTTGTCCAACGCAAAGACAGTGAAATCATTATAACATGTGCTTGGCCAACGAGAAGACAGTGAAACCGTAATAACATAAACTTTACCAACAAGAAGACAGTGAAACGATTATAACAATGTACTTTACGAACGTGAAAACAGCGAAAACATTATAACATGTGCTTGACCCAAGAGAAGACAGTGAAAGCATTATAACATGTGCTTGGCCAACGAGAAGACAGTGAAACCATTATACCATGAACCTCACCTTCGAGAAGAAAGCGAAACTATTATAAAATGTACGTCACCAACGAAAAGACAGTGAAAACATTATAACTTGTGCTTTACCAACGAAAAGACAGCGAAAACATTATAACATGTGCTTGACCAACGAGAGGGCAGTGAAACCGTTATAACATAAACTTTACCAACAAGAAGACAGTGAAACGATTATAACATGTACTTTACGAACGTGAAAACAGCGAAAACGTTATAACATGTGCTTGACCCACGAGAAGACAGCGAAACTATTATAACATGTGCTTCACCATCGAAAAGACAGCGACACCATTATAACATACTATTTTTCCAACGAGAAGACAGTGAAACCATTATTACATGTACTTGACCAATAAAAAGACAGTGAAACCATTATAACAATGTACTTTTCCAGCGAGAAGGCAGTGAAACCATTATAACATGTACTCCATCAACGAGAAGACAGTTAAAACATTATAACATGTACTTTTCTAACGAGAAGACGGCGAAACCATTATAACACGTACTTCACCTTCGAGAAGACAGCGAAAATTATTATAACATGTACTTCACCTACGAGATGACAGTTAAACAATTATAACATATACTTTTCCAACGAGAATGCAGTGAAACCATTATAACACGCACTTTACCAACGAGAAGACAGTGAAAACATTATAACAATGTACCTCACCAACGAGAAGACAGCGAAAACATTATAACATGTGCGTGACCAACGAGAAGACATTGAAACCATTATAACAGACATTAACCAAGAACGAAGTAAAACCATTAGAACATGAAAATCACCAACAAAAAGAAAGCGAAACCATTATGGCATCAGTTTCACCCAAAACGAAGAGTGTTAAACCATTATTACATGACTTTCGCCGAGGAGAAGGAATTAACAAACAGAGTTGACCCGACCGCCCCCATTATTAAATGAAATTCACGAACAAGAAGACTTTGAAATAACTAAAACCAGAAATTCATCAAGAAGAAGGTGAAAGCGTTATTAAGTGAAGTTCACACAAGAAGAAAACAGTGGAACAATCATTACATAGACCGTCAACACGGGGAAGACAGTTGAGCCATGATAACATCAGTCTCATCAAACAACAAATGCAAAATTTATCAATTTGTTGTCATTAAAATGTAAGATATACTGAAGGGCTATTTGAGCATACACACGCTCATGTTATCTCTCATATTGCTATCCGCGATACAGCTGCTTGTATGGCTGTTAGTGTAGACATGAAAGCACAAGTACTACATGAACTTATGTATTCATCCTTCTAGGATATAAATAGTGATATACAAATTTAATAAACTTACATTCACTTTGTGCGAGTTCATTAAAGAAACAGACACGAAAGAAGGGGAGCACAAATACTTCTTGCCTGAATGTCTTACCCCCAAATTTTACAAAGATGTTATCAAAGAGGAAGTCAAACATTTCACATATTGTTTTTTTTTTTTGGCATTTGCTTTCATTTTGGACAAATTGGCCTGAACCTCTGAATACATGTATATGAAGTATATAATGAAGTTCTTCCTTAACTTTGTTTTGTGGTAAAGTGGTGTACAAAGTTGAAAAATCAAATGCTTTTTGACAGAATTGAACCTGGTTCTTTTCTGAGATGGTAGAATGTCAAACAAATCTTTTTAGTTTTTGAAAATCCACATGGTATTAATTCCACTTGTCTCAAATACTTTCTGTGAATAAAAGGAAACTCCTTCTTTGATTGTATTAAGGATTACGGTTAACCGTTGAGACAGGGATTTGGTGGTACATTTGCTGGACCCAGCAAAATCTCTCTCTTTGTATGGATTTTTATGGAGCTTTGAAATCAAGTACAAAAGTGGAATTCCGTTCCGTTCGACATTCCTGTTCACAAACATCCGTGACGGTATGTATTAATCCACAACTGACCGTTGGCATTGCCTCAGCTCATCGAGTCATGTTTCTGATTATTCCTGCTATCTTTATTCAAGATGAGATCGATCCCATGTATTCTTTTGGTCAATTTGATCAGCGAATAAAAATATATTGGTACTGAGTATGATTGAGGAAAAGGATGTGACCGAGGACCGGCAAATCAGGAACCGAAAACCTAACATTGTTACAATGGTTGTTTTGGCGAATCCAGAGAGTTTCAAACTAAAATTTTATCGTTGCGATATTATTATTCGGTGAAACAGTAAATTTCCAAAGTATGAAATTTAAAGAATTGAACTTCGTTAAACCCATCCAAGCTGACGTTCAATTCTTAAATGAACTCACACAAAGTACATAAACATTAATACACAAACTTGACCAACACATACAATATCAATTTTCTATATGTCCTTTATATTGCTATTCTATTGTACAGCTACGCACATTCACGACAGACTAACAGGATCAGGTGGTCAGGCTCGCTGACTTGGTTGATGCATGTCATCGTATCCCAACTGCGTGGATCGATGCTCATGTTATCAATCAAAGGATTGTCAGGTCCAGACTCGATTATTTACACATCGCCGTCATACAGCTGGAACATTGCTGAGTGCGTGTTAAACAACAAACAAATCATTCACGACATGAAGACAGCACAGAAGTAAAGACTCAAACCAAAGTCTGCCATTGAGCCAAATACTTTGAACCTATGATGGTTTTCAGTTAACTATATCCCTAAAAAGTCATTGATAATACATACCCTTCGCTGCTGTTGTTCCTTGACGAGAGTGGAAGGGTTGGCCTTATAGAGGAAGCTATACAGTTCGTTGGAAACGTGCCCTAGTTTACTCTGCTTCACAGGGTTGGTATTGCAGATGGTGATTGTTGGAAACGGCAAGGGGCTGAACCCCAGGCTGACGGACGTTTGTTTAGGCCAACTGTAGTAGATCTGCATCAGGTAGGTCAGGTGATAAAACAGCATTGACAAGGACGTCAGGAGGAGACAACTCCAGATTATCCTGGCATACCAGCTCCTTGAGGTACTCAGAAAAGATACACCTTGCATAGATGTTCTCTCTGCAAATCGCTTCACAATAGAGCGAAGGGACTTCCCATTGGAAACCTGGTCGCATACATCTATCGCCATTGTGTCGGACTTCAAGTTCCACTGACTCGAGCCGGCAAGCCGAAGCTGTGTCAGACACAGCGGCTTCACCCGATATCCCCGATATATATAGTACCTTTCATGCACGGATAGTGCTCGGTAAATTTATTATTCGATCTTGTAAACATAGGATCTAATACTAGTGCCAAACGTTTAATTACTTTCAATCATTGTCATTATCCAGGCATTGCTAATTGAGATCGTGTTGCTGTCGATTATCCGTGTTTGCACAATGTATAGTCTGTCACGATTATGGGGGACACATGTTGGTGTTAAACCCAGCATTGATATTCTTAACAAGGACGACGTAAATTGATTATTTACCGAGTGCTCGAATCCCGGGCTGTAATGTTCTGTTTTGGTCACACAAAAGTTTTAGACAACGAGGTACTCACCCGGCGCTATGTTTACAGCATATCCTGCTGAAGCTCTGCACCAGATATATAAACATGCATTAATGTGTTTGAATCTTACATTACATTGTTAAATATTACATTAGGCACCTCATTTATGGTTTTACGTTTACCGACAATGTGCATATTTATACAACGCTAAATCCACAACCTAAAAATTACCAAAGAGCTGAACTTTTACCCCGATCGATGGAACAATTTGCACTCGATTTCATTCTCAGCTCCATGAGCGTTATAGAAGCCAAGCTGATTATCGGGGTTTTGGGGTTAACAGCCACATTATCATCTCATCCTACCGGGTACCCACTCACTGCTGGTTGACCAAAGTCATAATTCGAATAAAGTCACTTGCCAAAGGTGACACCACATTTGCCACATGTACTTCAGCGTAGGGCAGGACCAAAGCCCAAGAAACTCTCAGGAGTCAAACACCCCAACGCAGTCACCCATCCAGCTTATCTCCATGACCTACATTGCTGAACTTCACTTGATTTGTAACCTGTGCGCTGTGCACGGGGCCACGTGCAACCACGCCATGCAGTGCAGGGCATGGTTGACGTGGTCAGCGGGGCCGGAAGACTTTCCATGATTCAAATACATAAGTATTGTGAGCGTGAGCGTGACTAAATAAAAACTGATTCATTGTCAGATATGCTCGAATGAACACTGTTTCCATTCCGTGTCAGCTTAATGGAGGAATAAAGGTAACCCAATGTATACACCACTCCAGACATAACTATAATTCATGCGTTGTTCTATACAGCTGATGTATACTCCACTCCAGGCATAACTATAATTCATACCTGGTTCTATATAGGTAATGTATACTCCACTCCAGGCATAGCTATAACTCATACCTTGTTCTATACAGGTAATGTATACTCCACTCCAGGCATAACTATAATTCATACCTTATTCTAAATAACTAATGTATACTCCACTCCAGGAATAACTATAATTCATGCCTTGTTCTATATAGCTAATGTATACTCCACTCCAGGCATAACTATAATTCATGCCTTGTTCTATATACCTAATGTATACTTCACTCCAGGCATAGCTATAATTCATACCTGGTTCTATGTGATATAGCTAATGTATGCCCCACCCCAGGAATAACTATAATTCATACCTTGTTCTATATAGCTAATGTATACTCCACTCCAGGTATAACTATAATTCATACCTTGTTCTATATGGATAATGTATACCCCACTACAGGTATAACTATAATTGATACCGTTTCTATATAGCTAATGTATACCCCACACCAGACATAACTATAATTCTACCATGACATTGATGAATGCTTGATTCTGATTGGTTTAAAAGAGGTTTCCTTTTTGCTACACAAACTTCTTTCAAATATATTAAGAATTTCACAAAAAACGTGCGTATGAATACATAGATAGCCTACATATCGATTCATAGAAAATTGCTGCCGATCGATCACCCCCATATGAACTGTAAAACATATCTATATTTCCACTAATACACGCTGGGTCTCCAATACCAGCCAGGTCTCTAATATACGCCGAGTCAAGGGCTCTCGCGAAATTAATAATGGATTAATTAATGGATTTGAAAGTCCACGAAAACAATGTCCCAGCTGAAGTGACAACTAATCAAACTTGATGAAATTCATTTCAGAACACGCACAATTAAGAAAATCATACACGATCCACTATTTCTGTGACACAAATGTTTAAGTTCTGTCACTGTTTGGCTTTTGATCCGTGAAATCTTAAATTTAATAGGCCACCCCATGCAAATTCCTCGTTTCAAAATACCCGGCTCGTCTGCAGCCTAAAAAGCGGCTGTTCAGTCATACTCAGTCACATTGGTCATAATATGGATGTACCAGCAGGCTCGATCAACCCAAGATAATCTACCTGTTAATGTTGAACCACATCATAGATCAGGGTGGTCATCTTGCTTCATTCTATAACTCGTTACGGAGAATGTAAACACAGATTGTCAGCCAATGACAGCTGTGAGGTGTGAGTAACCGTGATGTAGGTCAAGTTCTGCAACATCCAAGTTCGGGGTGGAGAGGCATTTATTTTGATTTTATTATTGGTTACTGGGGGTAATTGCTAACTAACTAATAACACTTACACATGTTAAATGTATAATAGAATGTTTATTCTTAAGTTTGCTGTAGAAATATATTCGTTGAGCACTTTAAAACCTTTTTCTATTACCTGTCACCCCTACAATAGAAATGATGGCATGTGCGATTTCCAAGAAATCACCTCTCTCACAAAATTCCGAGAAATGACCGTCAGTCCACAGTGTACAACAAAGTACAACAGTTTGGTAGAAATTAAAACATCTCTCTTTGGACTAAGTTTGGAGTGTTATTTGTCAACTTATTTTGAAAAACTATGTGTTTTGAACACTTTTTATGAACTACTCACGACTATGGTGTTTTTTAATCTTGATACCTCTTGATGTTTTTAATCTAGATACCTCTTTATTATAATTTGGAACCTCTCGCTAAAGCGCTCGGTTCAAAATTATAATAAAGAGGTATCTATTCTACACTGGGACTACATCAAATTTAAAAACACAGTAGGTTTATCTCCTATTCATACCTCGTTATATATAACTAGTGTATACCCCACGCCAGGCATAGCTATAATTCATACTTCATTCTATATAACTAATGTATACCCCACTCCAAGCATAACTATAATTCAGGCCTCGTTGTATATAGCTAATGTATAACCAACTCCAAGCATAACTATAATTCATACTTCATTCTATATAACTAATGTATTCCCCACTCCAAGCATAACTAATCCTGCTCAGGATATAACAAAATGAACTGATAGTCCAGGGAAGGGAAGTGTAAAGAGAAGTGCAAGGGGATGTGTAAAGGATGTGCAAAGAGGAGTATAAAGGGAAGTATAAGGGATGTGCAAAGGATGTGCAAAGAAGAGTGTAAAGGGAAGTGTAATGGGGATGTGTAAAGGATGTGCAAAGAAGAGTGTAAAGGGAAGTGTAATGGGGATGCGTAAAGGATGTGCAAAGAAGAGTGTAAAGGGAAGTGTAATGGGGATGCGTAAAGGATGTGCAAAGAGGAGTGTAAAGGGAAGTATAAGGGATGTGCAAAGGATGTGCAAAGAAGAGTGTAAAGGGAAGTGTGAGGGGATGTGTAAAGGATGTGCAAAGAGGAGTATAAAGGGAAGTGTGAGGGGATGTGTAAAGGATTTGCAAAGATGAGTGTAAAGGGAAGTGTAATGGGGATGTGTAAAGGATGTGCAAAGAGGAGTGTAAAGGGAAGTATAAGGGATGCGTAAAGGATTTGCAAAGAGGAGTGTAAAGGGAAGTATAAGGGATGCGTAAAGGATGTGCAAAGAAGAGTGTAAAGGGAAGTATAAGGGATGCGTAAAGGATGTGCAAAGAAGAGTGTAAAGGGAAGTGTAATGGGGATGCGTAAAGGATGTGCAAAGAGGAGTGTAAAGGGAAGTATAAGGGATGTGCAAAGGATGTGCAAAGAAGAGTGTAAAGGGAAGTGTAATGGGGATGTGTAAAGGATGTGCAAAGATGAGTGTAAAGGGAAGTGTGAGGGGATGTGTAAAGGATGTGCAAAGAGGAGTATAAAGGGAAGTGTGAGGGGATGTGTAAAGGATTTGCAAAGATGAGTGTAAAGGGAAGTTTAAGGGGATTTTAAAGGATGTGCAAAGAGGAGTGTAAAGGAATGTGTAAATTGCCGTGATATTGCTGGTATATAGTTAAAAGCCGCGTAAAACCAACTCACTTACACACTATAGCAAAGCGACCGGACTGTGATGGAAGCCAGAAGTAGATCCATACATGCGCTAAAATTGACATAAGAAATAGTCATGCAAGGCGCTCCCTGATCAGTGTGGGTTTTGTATTCAAGAAGATCTGGGGTAGAATAGGTCTTCAGCAACCCATGGTTGCCGTAAAAGGCGACTATGCTTATCGTAAGAGGCGACTAACGGGATAAGGTGGTCAGCCTCGCTGACTTGGTTGATGCATGTCATCGTATCCCAGTTGCGTAGATCGATGCCCATGATGTTAATCAATGGATTGTCTGGTCCAGACTAGATTATTTACAGACCGCCGTCATATAGCTGGGACATTGCTGAGTGCGGCGTTAAACAACAACAAACAAAGAAACAGAAACAAATCCCATTTCAGCAGCTGTAGTATTAGAAAAGTCAGCCTTCATTATCCAGTAATCTGTCAGTTTCATCAAAAATAAAAACAACAAACTGATATCGACTATTGTTCACAGACACATATTCCAAAATTTCAGAAATAAATCATCCTATTTTATTGAGAAAATGCAGGTGCCTGTTGTTCAAGTAATGGTGGCTACAAGAGACGTGATAGATGACGGGTGATGAGAACTTGCACAGCAGAATGAGACATTTTACTAACGCTTCAATGCACAGCATCCCTACAGGCTGAGAGAAATTACGATGTGGCTCGCCAAGTATTCGGAAGGGTTGACATTTGGTCAAGCTTGGGATGATGGCATTGCGTTTCAATTTGTTTAACGATTATTTCTAAACATTTTGGACTAAGAAATAGTGGTATCCGTTTAAAAATAAATAAATATGAGATGGGTGTACATTGGAGGATCAACTCTTCAGGATTTCGGGGACAACAAATCGTCGCCAGGAGAGTAGATGGTGTAAAGAGTTACCCCCCCTAATGCAATTCTCCGTTGATCAAGGTATCTTTGTCCAGGGCTTGAGTTTGGTTTCGTTCTTAGAGGTTATTGATAAACCGGGTTCTTGAAGGCTACTTTGTATGTTCTGTCTCTGAGTGAGTGAGTATGGTTTCACGCCGATTTTAGCAATATTCCAGCAATATCACGGCGGGGAACACCACAAATTGGCTTCACACGTTGTACCCATGTGTGAAATCGAACCCGGGTCTTCGGTGTGACGAGCAAACGCGGTAACCACTAGGCCAGCCCACCGCCCTTTTCTATCGGTGAAGTGCACTATACAAAGAAAGGTATTTCACGAAACATTAAACCTTTTTACTGTGCTTGACGTCTATATTGTCACAGACCCTTGAAGATCCGAGGTCTTCAGCAAAAGTCACATTTAGAGTCACAGAGCCTGACCACCAAATCAAGGAGTCATAGAGCCTGAACACCAAATCAAGTAGTAACAGAGCCTGAACACCCAATCTGGGAGTCACAGAGCCTGAACACCCAATCTAGGAGTCACAGAGGCTGACCACCAAATCTAGGAGTCACAGAGCCTGAACACCCAATATAGGAGTCACAGAGCCTGACCACCAAATCTAGGAGTCACAGAGCCTGAACACCTAATCTAGGAGTAACAGAGCCTGACCACCAAATCTAGGAGTCACACAGCCTGAACACCTAATCTAGGAGTAACGGAGCCTGAACACCCAATCTGGGAGTAACAGAGCCTGAACACCCAATCTAGGAGTCACACAGCCTGAACACCTAATCTAGGAGTAACGGAGCCTGAACACCCAATCTGGGAGTCATAGAGCCTGAACACCCAATCGAGGAGTCACAGAGCCTGATCACCAAATCTGGGAGTCACAGAGCCTGACCACCCAATCAAGGATTAACAGAGCCTGACCACCAAATCTAGGAGTCATAGAGCCTGAACACCCAATCGAGGAGTCACAGAGCCTGATCACCAAATCTGGGAGTCACAGAGCCTGACCACCTAATCTGGGAGTCACAGAGCCTGAACACCTAATATAGAAGTCACAGAGCCTGACCACCAAATCTAGAAGTCACAGAGCCTGATCACCAAATCTGGGAGTCACAGAGCCTGACCACCCAATCTAGGAGTCACAGAGCCTGACAACCCAATCAAGGAGTCACAGAGCCTGACCACCCAATCTAGGAGTCGCAGAGCCTGATCTCCAAATCTAGGAGTCACAGAGCCTGACCACTCAGTTTAGGAGTCACAGAGCCTGATCACCAAATCTAGGAGTCACAGAGTCTGACGCAGTATTAGTTTATATCTATATATCTATGTGGTGGGATGGCCTTGTGGTTAAAGTGTTTGCTCGTCACGCCGAAGACCCGGGTTCGATCCCCAATATGGGTACAAAGTGTTTAGCCCATTTCTGGTGTTCCCCGCCGTAATATTGCTGGCATTTTGCTAAAAGCGGAATAAACAGACCACGGCTTTTCATTTTATTCCACACTTACATTTTTTGGAGTTGGCGATTCGCAAACCAAATTTAGAAAACGCCTAACTATAGCCTTACGTTAAACTTACGTCCTTCGGTATCTGTGTCATATGTAGTATTGTTCTACAAGGAAACAGGCAGGTCAACTTGCATCTCTCCATGTGGATTCACTTACACCAGTCCAGGAAACACGTCAACAACATGTGTTTGTGGTGCAATGTCATGCTGTAGGCGCCACATTACACCATACGACGCAAGATACCGCGAGATGCGTTACCCGCTGAGTGAGTGAGTCGTTGTGTCGCACAACGTTATCCAAGCCATTCCCCAAAAAAACATGAAAGAATGTTAAGCAAACATGAAAATTTATTCGGGTAATTAATAATAATTAGAGACCTTTTAGACCTAGCGATATCTTCAAACAAGAAAATTATAATAATAATAATAATAATAATAATAATAATTTCCAATTGAGCTTGATTTTCCTGACAAAAGTCAGTTCACAAAAGATATATACCGGGTGATGTACATTTTAGATAGTTCAAGGGTTTCCCGTATTCACATATATATGTTAACAAAATACTTCTGGAACATAAATGCTTATTATGTAAACATATTACGATACACGGAAGACACACAAGTATGTACTCGACCGAAACCTTCCTCGTATCACTGTCCTTCACTATGAAACTGAAACACATAGGTAGAAGTATCAACGTACACATTCGGCATAAACACATATGTTGACAGTGTCTGAAGTATCACCGTACACATTCGGCAAAAACACATATGTAGACAGTGTCTGAAGTATCAACGTTCACATTCGGCATAAACATATATGTTGACAGTGTCTGAAGTATCAACGTTCACATTCGGCAAAAACACATATGTTGACAGTGTCTGAAGTATCACCGTACACATTCGGCATAAACATATATGTTGACAGTGTCTGAAGTATTAACGTACACATTCGGCATAAACATATATGTTGACAGTGTCTGCAACATCAACGTACACGTTCAGCAAAAACATATATGTTGACAGTGTCTGAAGTATCAACGTACACATTCGGCATAAACACATATGTTGACAGTGTCTGAAGAATCAACGTACACATTCGGCATAAACATATATGTTGACAGTGTCTGAAGTATCACCGTACACATTCGGCAAAAACATATATGTTGACAGTGTCTGAAGTATCAACGTTCACATTCGGCATAAACATATATGTTGACAGTGTCTGAAGTATTAACGTACACATTCGGCATAAACATATATGTTGACAGTGTCTGCAACATCAACGTACACGTTCAGCAAAAACATATATGTTGACAGTGTCTGAAGTATCAACGTACACATTCGGCATAAACACATATGTTGACAGTGTCTGAAGAATCAACGTACACATTCGGCATAAACATATATGTTGACAGTGTCTGAAGTATCACCGTACACATTCGGCAAAAACACATATGTTGACAGTGTCTGAAGTATCAACGTTCACATTCGGCATAAACATATATGTTGACAGTGTCTGTAACAGCAACGTACACGTTCAGCAAAAACATATATGTTGACAGTGTCTGAAGTATCACCGTACACATTTAGCAAAAACACATATGTTGACAGTGTCTGCAACATCAACGTACACATTCAGCAAAAACATATATGTTGACAGTGTCTGAAGAATCAACGTACACATTCGGCATAAACATATATGTTGACAGTGTCTGTAACATCAACGTACACGTTCAGCAAAAACATATATGTTGACAGTGTCTGAAGTATCAACGTACACATTCGGCATAAACATATATGTTGACAGTGTCTGCAACATCAACGTACACGTTCAGCATAAACATATATGTTGACAGTGTCTGAAGTATCACCGTACACATTCAGCAAAAACACATATGTTGACAGTGTCTGAAGTATCAACGTTCACATTCGGCATAAACATATATGTTGACAGTGTCTGTAACATCAACGTACACGTTCAGCAAAAACATATATGTTGACAGTGTCTGAAGTATCACCGTACACATTTAGCAAAAACACATATGTTGACAGTGTCTGCAACATCAACGTACACATTCAGCAAAAACATATATGTTGACAGTGTCTGAAGAATCAACGTACACATTCGGCATAAACATATATGTTGACAGTGTCTGTAACATCAACGTACACGTTCAGCAAAAACATATATGTTGACAGTGTCTGAAGTATCAACGTACACATTCGGCATAAACATATATGTTGACAGTGTCTGCAACATCAACGTACACGTTCAGCAAAAACATATATGTTGACAGTGTCTGAAGTATCAACGTACACATTCGGCATAAACACATATGTTGACAGTGTCTGAAGAATCAACGTACGCATTCGGCATAAACATATATGTTGACAGTGTCTGAAGTATCACCGTACACATTCGGCAAAAACACATATGTTGACAGTGTCTGAAGTATCAACGTTCACATTCGGCATAAACATATATGTTGACAGTGTCTGTAACATCAACGTACACGTTCAGCAAAAACATATATGTTGACAGTGTCTGAAGTATCACCGTACACATTTAGCAAAAACACATATGTTGACAGTGTCTGCAACATCAACGTACACATTCAGCAAAAACATATATGTTGACAGTGTCTGAAGAATCAACGTACACATTCGGCATAAACATATATGTTGACAGTGTCTGTAACATCAACGTACACGTTCAGCAAAAACATATATGTTGACAGTGTCTGAAGTATCAACGTACACATTCGGCATAAACATATATGTTGACAGTGTCTGCAACATCAACGTACACGTTCAGCAAAAACATATATGTTGACAGTGTCTGAAGTATTAACGTACACATTCGGCATAAACACATATATTGACAGTGTCTGAAGTATCAACGTTCACATTCGGCATAAACATATATGTTGACAGTGTCTGCAACATCAATGACGCCTCCATGACGCTATCCTGTTTTTTTAACCACGACCATTCCTGAAATACCACGACAGACACTACCATTCTTCACGATTGACCTTATCCCAATGTTTGAGACCCGTGAAGATCCGGGGTGGAATAGGTCTTCAGCACCCCATACTTGCCGTAAAAGGCGACTATGCTAGTCGTAAAAGGCGACTAAACGGGATCAGGTGGTCAGGCTCGCTGACTTGGTTGATGCATGTCATCTATCCCAATTGCGTGTATCGATGCTCATGATATCAATCACTGGATTGTCTGGTCCAGACTCGATTATTTACAAACCGCCGCCATACAGCTGGAATATTGCTGAATGATGCGTAAAACAACAAACCAACCAACAACCAACCAATGTTTGAAATCAGCCAAATCCTGAAATACCACGGTTGACGCTATACCAATGTTTAAAGAACACCCAATCTAGAAAACAATACCATGACTGACGCAATCCCACTGTTTGCAATAGGTCCAAACCTTTAAACATTACGATGAATGACACTATCCCACTGTTTGGAACAGGCCCAAAACTGAAAAAAACACTATAACTGACGCTATTCCACTTTTTAAAAGGCGTCTAATCCTGAAATACCACGATTGACGCTGACCTACAGTGTCGGTCTGGAGGTTTTCTGAGGCCCCTTTGTGAGTGATATCCAAGACTTGTTACATCCCACATACATATTGTGAAGCACTCTTTCTATTAAAACTGTCTCATTTAAGAGGATACTTGGTTGCCGTTATCCTTCTCGTAACGGGGGCTTGTGGCGGAGGGTCGTTGTGCAGAGTTGCGTCCCTTAGTTATGCCTCGATCCGCTTCAAACTCACCAAGGGTCAATGACCTTCGTCAAGGTGGACTTTCTTGGCACATGAAGCTGACACACCAGGATATAAGTGAAGCACTGTTCAAAGCAACCGTTCGACATTGCCTTATCGTAAGACTAAATATCACATTAAAACCTCGTCGACACATAACACATACCATTCATTCACTCTGTCACATTTGTATTAATATGGTCAGACTTCCACTCATGGCTCCACATTCAAATTCTATACCCTAATGGTTTTTGTGGGAAAACGTGTCTGAGATTTAATACGTTGTCAAGTACCACAACAAGCACCATAACTTCTTTCAGTGGCATTTAGAGGTTGGTGTGATGAAGTAAGACAAGTTCTATGGATGAACAACTTCTTTATTACAATAAGCGCGACGTTTCGGTGTAGATCCTAACACCTTTGTCAAGCAAGTGATCATCACACTAATTGTAATAAAGAAGTTGTTCATCCATAGAACTTGTCTTACTTCATCCAGCACCATGTCGGAATGTGAGAGGGATATATGGAAAGTGGACGCGCTATCCAGTGCTACGTGTTTGGAATCTTGTGCTTTACAAACCCTAGTGTTTTGTAATAAGAGTCATCGAATGTGGACTCTCCGTCAAGCTCACGCTGAGCCCTACTAAAGTACCACTCGTCCATGCACTGAAGGGCGGCCGGCTGGTAGTGCAGGTGAAACTTGTTGGCAAACAATTCCTTCCTCTCGGGGAACTTGGCCAGATCTCCTACCCCGAATATACAAATTTTTCGGACATACTTGCCCCGACATTCTCCACCAAATATCTTCCCCCCTTCCCACACCTTGTATCGGGCCAAGAAGGGTTTCTTGACAAGATCCGTCTCAGGTTCACCTGAAAAGAGAACGTCACACTATGTATAAAGGTTGGTAGGCGACTAATGCCGGTGGTGGAATTGTGAATGGAACGGGCAGACGGGGACAACCGAGGTCCTGGAACGAGTAACAGGGTAAAAGCAGAGATCCCAAGAAGTCGAACCAGGGTAGGGGGTGAAGTTCTTAGAATGAGAACCAGCATTGGGGAAGAGGTCCTAAGACCGAGTACCAGTATATAAGGAGAGGTCCCTGGAACGAATACAAGTATATGAGGAGAAGTCCCTGGAACGAGTGCCAGTATATCAGGGGAAGTCTCTGGAACGAGTACAAGTGTATGAGGAGATGTCCCAAGATGCAGTACCAGGGAAGGAAGAGAGGTCCTAAGACCGAGCACCAGTACAGGTGGAGAGGTCCCTGAGGTGAGGTGAAATGGGGTTTAACGTCGCGTCCAAGATTATTGCACTTATATAGCGACGTGCATGTACGTGTGTGTGTTTGTGTGGCTGCTTGTACTAGTCCGGACTGATGCCGAATTATAGTGCTAGCTCACTGAGATACCATGCCGCAGTTTAACATGCATACCCCACTCAGACACAGTATACTGACTCCGAGCCGACCAGTCCTTGTTTTAGCCCCTTAATGCCGAGCGCCAGACAGGGTAACAACAAGTTCCATCTTTAAACGACTTTTGGTATGACGCGGCCGGGGATCGAACCCCGGACCTTACGCTCTCCGGGCGGACGCCCTACCACAAGACCACGGAGGAGAGAGGTCCCTGAAGCGAGTACCAGGGTAAGAGTAGAGATTCAAAGAAGGAGTACCACGATAGGAGGTGAAGTCCTGAGAATAAGAACCAGTATAGGGGGAGGGAGGTCCTAAGACCGAGTACCAGTTTATGAGGAGAGGTCCCAAGAAGCAGTACCAGGGTAGGAAGAGAGGCCCCAAGACCGAGCACCAGTACAGGTGGAGAGGTCCCTGAAACGAGTACCAGGGTAGGACTAAAGGTCTTAAGAAGGAGGACTACGGTAGGAGCAGAGGTCCAAAGACCGAGTACAAGGATAGGAGGAGAGGTCTTAAGAGCAAGGATCAAGGTAGGAGGAGAGGTCCTAACACCGAGCACCAGTGCAGGAGAAAAGGTCCCTGGAACGGGGATCAGGGTAGGAGTTGAGGTCACAAATTATTATCAGGGTAGGAGTTGAGGTCACAAAATATTATCAGGGTAGAAGGAGAAGTCACAAAATATTATCAGGGTAGAAGGAGAGGTCACAAAATATTATCAGGGTAGGGGGAGAGGTCACAAAATATTAACAGGGTAGGGGGAGAGTTCACAAAATGTTATCAGGGTAGGAGTTGAGGTCACAAAATGTTATCAGGGTAGGGGGAGAGGTCACAAAATGTTATCAAGGTAGGGGGTGAGGTCACAAAATGTTATCAGGGTAGGGGAAGAGTTCACAAAATGTTATCAGGGTAGGGGTTGAGGTCACAAATTATTATCAGGGTAGGAGTTGAGGTCAAAAAATATTATCAGGGTAGAAGGAGAGGTCAAAAAATATTATCAGGGTAGGGGGAGAGGTCACAAAATATTATCAGAGTAGAGGGAGAGGTCACAAAATGTTATCAGGGTAGGAGTTAAGGTCACAAAATGTTATCAGGGTAGGGGGAGAGGTCACAAAATGTTATCAAGGTAGGGGGTGAGGTCACAAAATATTATCAGGGTAGGGGGAGAGGTCACAAAATGTTATCAGGGTAGGGGAAGAGGTCACAAAATGTTATCAGGGTAGGGAAAGAGGTCACAAAATGTTATTAGGGTAGGTAACTCTGACCAATATGACAATTGGTAATTTTCATGGTATTCACAGAGAATGATAATTAAATAAATAAATATATGTTCCATAGTTTCTGAGAATGTTTAGGATCTATAATATCAGGGTACATCATTATTTAATTTTAAAATAAAATAATAACAACAACAACAACAACAACAATAATAATAACCTACCTTGGTAGGTTCCTGGTATTTTTAGATGTGGATTGTGATTTAGTGTTGCAAAGAACGTCTCGTCTGGAATTGTGGTTCGTTTCAACCACGTGAGGAGGTCATTAGCTACGGGGTCATGAACGATGTACTCCACATACTGACGGTTAGCGACGATGTGTACGGCTCCCTTTACTGCCCGGATGTTGTGAGGAGGTCGTCCGGCGTTGCCCCATCGGGACTTTCGATCTGGCACTCTGGTTAAGAAGAACACACGACTGCACACTGCATGACACAGAATCTATAACACTCACGGTAAATATCTAATTCAAGACATTTGAGGCTAGAAGTGACACGGTGTTTCATTTCGTCTTGTCATGGTTGCTAAGCTCTGACATCTACCAATACATAGTAACGAGTCCCTCCTTCAATAACGTTTTATCTAGAATTTCAAATCCGTAATTTCAAGTTCCACATACTGCTGTTGGTTTGATTAATCCAAATACTGTAAACTACGTTTATAACGAACACGCTTATAACGAACTGACGGATATAACGAACATATTTTTTGGTCCCGACCATTTGCTGTTTATACATGTATATATGCTTATAACAAACTACGTTTATATTGCAATTGGTTAAAAAGTCAATCATATAAAACACATATAGTTTTAGGACCATGTTATGACCGAAGTCATTACCAACATGGTTAGAAATAACCGAGTTCATAAAAATCGTATGTGCACTAGTGAAATATCACTTCTCGCGCACCTGGACTGACGTCATTTGACAAATTGTTGTGCATTTTTCTAAAGGAGAGCTCAAACGGATTAAGACATAACGTGTAATAAGGAAATATATATTACACTCACGTGTGTGTCATACTGATTTTACGAAACATAAGAATTATGTATTACCCACGTTCTGGTTCGGGAAATACCAGAATTCTGACACTCGTTTCGTAAAATCGATATGACACACATGCACGTATAACAGTCTCTATATGGTGTCGTGTTATGGTGAGGTGAGGTGAGGTGAGGTGAAATTGGGTTTAACGTCGCGTCCAAAATTATTGCACTTATATAGCGACGTGCATGCACGTGTGTGTGTGTGTGTGTGTGTGTGTGTGTGTGTGTACTAGTCCGGACTGATGCCGATTTATAGTGCTAGCTCACTGAGATACCATGCCGCAGTTTAACATGAATACCCCACTCAGACACACTATACTGACTCCGAGCCGACCAGTCCTTGTTTTAGCTCCTTAATGCCGAGCGCCAGACAGGGTAACAACAAGTGCCATCTTTTAACGTCTTTTGGTATGACGCGGCCGGGGATCGAACCCCGGACCTTCCGCTCTTCGGGCGGACGCTCTACCACAAGTCCACGGAGGCGGCTGTGTCGTGTTATGGTATGTAACACCATGTACATTAAACTGGACTTAAGGTGTGCAATACGTTATAACTTTGTGATGTAAACCATCATACTATACAACACTGATACATGTATTTCTCCATTACCATGATAAGGGCCCAGGTTCGATTCCCAGCATGTGTACAGTGTGTGAATCGAATGGTTACCAAACCGTGATATGACTTTGGCATTGCTAAAGGCGGCGTTAAGCCCTACTCACAGCGTCACCTGCATATAAATAAACACGGCAAAACTATTTCCATAATCATATGAAATATCTCCATAAATCACTCACATAAGAGTGAGTGAGTGAGTTGTGTTCAACGCCGCTTTGAACAGTATTCCAGTTATATCACAGCTTAGATTCGGAGGAAAGCCCGAAGTGATGCAGGTCTTAGTCGTTTACCACTTTGGTGAAACCCACGAGCACGGGTATGGTGCTGACAAACCTAGAAACATAATCGGGGCGAACCGGGATTCGAACCTACAATCATAGGTTTCTGGCGTGCCCAAGGGACGCAATTCTGCAGAGCGAATCGCGGCGCCTTGGACAACTGGGCCACTAAGGTTCCCAAAACTGTAAAGTGTCAATATTGTCTTACCTTTTAACGGTCCCTTCAATGTCATTGGCGCCATCGTACGCCTTGAGAATCTGGACTAGCTCCATGTTGGTCTTGAGAGGGAACTCCTGCCCAGTGAGGTTGATAAGATAACGCCACTTGTGTTTCAGCAGATCCTGCATGCACACCAGCTCTGGTTCCAGTACAGTGAACTTTCCCCACCTCACAGCCACCGACCGGGACGACAGGAAGACGTTGGGCAGACACGTGGCCAGTGACGTCACTGAGTCACGAACCCCCGACGAGGACTTGGCATCGACGTGGATGCAGTACACGTTGTGAGGACGGTAGATCGCTCGAAGTAAGCGTTCGAACTGCTCGAAGTCTTTGTACATGAGAACAGTAAATGCTATGGGGAATTCAGCCTCGGCTTTCGACACCTCTTGTATATAGAGCCTCTTGGATAGGAAGTCATTGCAGTTTGTACCGAGAAGTGAATATTGTTGCTCGGTTTCATTACTTCTTGTAACCAGTTTCGCTCTTGCTATTTCTTCTTTGTCACCTTTGAACAACCTGCTGCAGTTGACCCTTCCCGGACTCATTACGGTGACCAGCCTCGGTGGTGGGAGGATATCCCAGACCGACAGTCCGTATATTAGGAACACACAAAATGATGACGTCAGTGATGCCAGAAGGAGACGTCTGAATATTCCCCCCGGACCCATCTGTGATCTGCAAGAGGCAAAGGAATTTGGATCAATGTGTTGTCTGGCGCATGTTGCTTGAGCCCGCACGGCAACAGGTGTGGTCATTGTTACTCGTACTTCGACACACGGAACTTGAAACAAAAACTGCTTGTAATACTTTACTTCACCACTATTTGGCTAGGAATTAAAAATGATATTGCCGTGTTGAGTCACATGATCATATTCATTTCGTATTACATATGTCTCCTGGTGATGTCTTCCTGCTCTTGTTTGCATATATATTTCTCTTCTCAGTTTCGAGACGGTGGGGTAGCCTAGTGGTTAAAGCGTTCGCTCATCACGCCAGAGACCCGGATTCGATTCCCGACATGGGTACAACGTGTGAAGCCCATTTCTGGTGACCCCCGCCGTGGTATTGCTGGAATATTGTTAGGGCGTAAAAGCATATACTCACTCACAAACTTCTCAGATTCGGTATCACGCCGTAGAACGTTCCTGTGACAAATGGTTCTCAATACTCAGGTTTTTGTAAAATGGTGTGGAATTGGTCAAAGTATAAGGCTGAACGTGTTACTCTAGAAGCATGACCTCTTTATAACAGCGGCAGAATATACAAAACTGCTGAGAAATAATTATGCTTTCAGGTTGTAAATATTTCTATATAACACACACACTAGCACAAACACACACAAATCAACAACCAAACACACACGAACACGCACACAAATAAACACGAACACACGCACACGCGCGCGCGCGCGCTCACACACACACACACACACACACACACACACACACACACACACACACACACACACACACACACACACACACACACAACAAACGTCTCTAAGTGCAATCATTATGATCGCGATATTAAAGGGCAAGTTCACACGGAAATGAACCTATTTTTCTTGTACTTTTTCCACATTAAAAGTGTTAACATAGAAGTGTCATAGACAAAAATATAAAAATATCACAATTAATTAACATATTTTTCGCATTAAAACGATTTATATTTTTCACATTTACCAAGTGTTCTATTTCCACAACAAAAACACCATGGCTTATGCCCCTTGCAATATGACGTCATTGGTGCCAATTGGTAAACATTATGACGTCATCATGCTTTGTTAGAGCCGCTTCACGTGGTGTAGGTCCAGGTGTGTGATTCTAGCGTCTCAGATGCCAGCCAGCATAGTGTTATGCTGAGTCACCACTGCGCCGGAGTGTGTCGTAGGCCATGTTGTTTTACCGCAAACTGGTACTTGATATCTTTTGCGTTGAGAATAGACAGGGACCCAGTTGAATTGGCACCAATTACGTCATAATCTAAGGGGGATAACTCAGGCCTGTTTAGCTCGAAAAACGAAGGCCTCATAACGGCATATCATTTTCACACTATTGTGAGCTTCCTACGTTCACTGTGAAAGAAATGAGTGTATATTTTCAAACACAGATACTAATTAATTCTAAAATTGCGTTTTGTTTAGAGAAAGAAAGAAAGTGATTTTTGCGTGTACACTTCCCCTTTAAACCCCATTTCTCTCACCTGACCTCAGAATGTCGTGGCATCGGTAGCCAACTTTCATTGGTTGTCGTTGCTCCTGCTGAGAGCTGATGGTGACCGCAGTCAAGATGCGCGTTTTCTATAACTACAAAAATGCTATCTTCCCTTAAACTTCATCAAGTTATGATCTATGCATAAGTTATAAAAATCAACAAATTGTAGTTTGCTTGAAACTACGTCCTACCTCACGCTCTGTCAAAAGTAAATATACTCAAGAACATGAAGTGTAAGGAAGCCTTTTAGGACCACTTGTTTTTTTTGTTTTTTTTATCTTGAAATTTTCACATAGCATCTTGAAATTTCAACTTACTATGTTGAAATTTCAAGATGCTATGTTGAAATTTCAAGATAAATACGTTGAAATTTCAAGTTAAAATCTTAAAATTTCAACTTATTATCTTGAAATTTCATGACCATTATCTTGAAATTTCAACTTAGTATCATGAAATTAATATCTTAGCATCTTGAAATTTCAATTTAGCATCTGGAAATTTCCATATAGCATCTTGAAATTTCAACTTACTATGTTGAAATTTCAAGATGCTATGTTGAATTTTCAAGATAAATTTTCAAGTTAAAATCTTAAAATTTCAACTTATTATTTTGAAATTTCATGACCATCACTTGAAATTTCAACTTGGTATATATATTGAAATTTCAACTTAGTATCATGAAATTTCAACTTTGGATAAATTTCAACTTAACATCTTCAACTTTCAACATAGCATCTTGAAATTTTAACTTAGTACAGTCGTGCCTCGTTTATACGGACACTTGCGTCATTTTTCAATTCGTCCTTCCCTTTAATTATGCAACTCATGACAGATGACAGAGCAAACAGATACATCCACTCAATCTTTATTCAAGACATAAACCTTTAAAAAATCTGTCATGGTAGTTTGAACTTTACCACATTTTGAGATTTGAATTTTAAACAATGATTCCAAATTGTCCAGATCGCCTGTGTTCTCCTAATATGTAATCAAGGTCTCTATACAAGCACAAACTTCCTTGTGAGTGACTGTAAATAAACAATAAACAAGCTCGTCTCAAACGTAACTCAGTGTCACTTGGTTAATTGACTTCTCACGAATCAAAGGATTACCACCAGCGGAAGTGTATTGTCCGGTAAGTGAGACAATTTTGTGTGCATTTCAGTGTTTTGTGTATGAACATGACCATCCGGTTCCGGAAACTAAATTTCCGTATATACGGGTAAATTCATATAGAAATTATTTCCTTTTGAATGAAAATCGTCCGGGAACCGAGGTTTCCGGATATCTGAAGTCCGTATAAGCGGGGCATGACTGTATCTTGAAATTTCAAGGTAGTAAGTTGAAAATTCAAGATAATAAGTTAAAATTTTAAGATACAAACGTTGAAATTTCAAGTTATATTCTTAACATTTCAACTTATTTTCTTGAAATTTCAACTTACTACCTTTAAATTTCAAGGTAAAAAATATAACAACAAATGGCCCTTAAAGGTTTCCGTATGGTGCAGATGTAAAAGCTGAAAACCAATACCGATCACAATGGTATGGAGAATATGCCAAAGCAAGACTAGCTTAATGATGTATTATGCATATTAGAGTATGAAGAAAGTGACACCTCATATGGTCTTATCAGTTTATCTCTTTTAGGCAATGAAAATAATTGAACTTCACAATAACCTGTGTGAATAGCACAACAGCTGATAGGCAGAATTTTGAATTTGTTTCAATTTTATTTTTTTAAAGCAACACAAGGAAATTCTGTATTCAAATGTTTTAAGTTGGTACACGGGCTCGAGGTCACGGGGACCCTTTGAAAACTTTTGATAACACACAGTTTGTAATTATGAACAAATATATGTACACCAAAAGCTTTCAGCGTATGTCGGTATGAAGCTGTTAGCAATATGAACACAGCCTGGGCGTAACGAGCCACATGTTTTTAGGTTGAAGAAAGTCCCCGGTGTGCACATGAACAACAAAGCCAATACCGTTGATGCAAACATAAGAATATTGTGAATATTAATATCATTAACTATAAAAGGAACATAAATAGGATGGACATCCGAGAGAGATGAGGAGAAGGTGACAGGTATGTGGTAGAGACTGGAGGAGAAGGAGACAGGTATGTGGTAGAGACTGGAGGAGAAGGAGACAGGTATGTGGTAGAGAGGGGAGGAGAAGGAGACAGGTATGTGGTAGAGAGATAAAGAGAAGTGACAGGTATGTGGTAGAGAGGTGAGGAGGAGGAGACAGGTATGTATTAGAGAGGTGAGGAGAAGGTGACAGGTATGTGGTAGAGAGGTGAGGAGAAGGTGACAGGTGTGTAGTAGAGAGGTGAGGAGAAGGGGACAGGTATGTGGTAGAGAGATAAAGAGAAAGGGACATGCATGTGGTAGAGAGGGGAGGAGAAGGAGACAGGTATGTGGTAGAGAGATAAAGATAAGTGACAGGTGTGTGGTAGAGAGGTGAGGAGAAGGAGACAGGTATGTAGTAGAGACGTGAGGAGAAGGAGACAGGTGTGTAGTAGAGACGTGAGGAGAAGGGGACAGGTACGTAGTAGAGAGGTGAGGAGAAGGTGACAGGTGTGTAGAAGGGAGGTGAGGAGAAGGGGACAGGTATGTGGTAGAGAGATAAAGAGAAGTGACAGGTATGTGGTAGAGACGTGAGGAGGAGGAGACAGGTATGTAGTAGAGAGGTGAGGAGAAGGGGACAGGTATGTGGTAGAGAGATAAAGAGAAGTGACAGGTGTGTGGTAGATACGTGAGGAGGAGGTGACAGGTATGTGGTAGAGAGGGGAGGAGAAGGAGACAGGTATGTAGTAGAGAGATAAAGAGAAGGGGAAATTCCTGTGGAAGAGAGGTGAGGAGAAGGGGACATGCATGTGGTAGAGAGGTGAGGAGAAGGAGATAGGTATGTGGTAGAGAGGTGAGTAGAAGGAGATAGGTATGTGGTAGAGAGGTGAGGAGAAGGAGACAGGTATGTAGTAGAGACGTGAGGAGAAGGAGACAGGTGTGTAGTAGAGACGTGAGGAGAAGGGGACAGGTATGTAGTAGAGAGGTGAGGAGAAGGTGACAGGTGTGTAGAAGGGAGGTGAGGAGAAGGGGACAGGTATGTGGTAGAGAGATAAAGAGAAGTGACAGGTATGTGGTAGAGACGTGAGGAGGAGGAGACAGGTATGTAGTAGAGACGTGAGGAGAAGGTGACAGGTGTGTAGTAGAGAGGTGAGGAGAAGGGGACAGGCATGTGGTAGAGAGGTGAGGAGAAGGAGGTAGGTATGTCGTAGAGAGGTGAGGAGAAGGGGACATGTATGTTGTAGAGAGGTGAGGAGAATGAGACAGGTATGTGGTAGAGAGGTGAGGAGAAGGAGACATGCATGTGGTAGAGAGGTGAGGAGAAGGAGATAGGTATGTGGTAGAGAGATGAGGAGAAGGAGACAGGTATATGGTGGAGAGGTGAGTAG